GTTTTCTTTTTTGACGATCCTACTTTTGTTTTGATTGGTTTTACTGTATTAGTTAGGGTTATTGATGTGTATGTAGTTGAACGCACTGCCAAATTGACAAGCGCCACTTTCCTAAAAGTGTACGTTCAAATTATTACGCTATAAACCAAAGATCTTATAAACACAAGATAGCGTTCTCCGCGATTTACGCGTAACAAATAGAAGCGTCGGTCAAGGTTCAAAAGTTTCCCATTTAGCAAGAGGGCGCCATTCATGCGCTATTACCAAAGAGAAAAAGTAATAAGTTTTGGAAGAGGGCGTCCTATCTGTTGCCATGGATCTGTTCTGCTGTTCACAGGCGGTGTACTGTATGGTCAGATCAGAGCGGTCAAGGGTCAAAAGTTTCCAATTTAGCAAGAGGGCGCCATTCATGCCTTATTACAGAATTTGCACGCGTAAATCCCCGAGAACGCTATCTTGTGTTTATAAGATCTTTGCTATAAACTTAACTTACCTATTGGTGGCGCTGTCCAGAATGAGAAAAAAAATGTTGTGGCAAGTTAAACATCAGCGACCAGCAGCACTTCCGTTACTATACTATGGAACGTCAAAAGGGCAACTTTCACATTGGCTTTTCAAGCTGGCTGGGTATACGTTCAAAATAGTTGATTTAGAACTAGATCTACGTAACAGTTGCTGATCGGTGGTACGTAGTTGGATAGGTTTGAGAGTAAATTATTTGATGTATTTTATATTGCTATAAACAAAATGCGGCCTATATACAGTACAACGTGATGTTATTGATGTTCAAAATATTTCTGTTGCTCAAAATTATCCGCAGCTAATTTTACATATTATTATTATTAATAATTAAATATATTTATAACATCGTAATATTATAAATATATTTATAATATTATAAATATTATAAATATATTTATAATATTACGATGTGAGTTTGCGTCATGAAATATTATATGAGTGACGTTTTGCCCTACTGGCGTATTATCGTACCGAATACTCAGTACGTTCCCAAATACCTGTGAAAATTCGCTGGTGACTTGGGTGGGATAACTAGCTGGCGCCATACAGTAACCACTAGACTACGATCTTGCACTTAGTAAGTAGAGTTGGATCCGATCCCTAAGTAGCAGCGGGTACTGGAAATGCTATTACGATGTGTGTTTACGTCAGGAAATATTTGGGAACGTAGTATTCGGCAGGCAGGGCAAAACATCACTCCTATATTAATAATATTTATTTTATTTTTAAAGTTGTTTGTTTACGTTGGTTTATGTGGCTATTTTATAGTAGGCCTATATTGTATTTTAAGTATTGTTGCTAATGTATCAATATATTCCTTGATATCTTGATATACGATCCTAAGAAGCATTTGCTTGTCCAAGGAGATTCCGTTTATTCCAGGTCAATTGATGCGTTTTGAATTGAAAAATGAGGGGATAACTCTGAAATCTTCTAAGTTACTCATCAACGCCTGTTCAGCATCTGGATGAGTTCATGCGCAGTGTCCTAAGCAAAGTTCGTAACCAAGTGCCCTTGTTATCTCAATAATGTGTTGCGTATTTTTATTATTATTATTTTTTTTTTCTTTTGCTATTGTTTATTTTAAGTTATTTAAGTTAATTTTACGATTAGTTGAGATTATTAATTTATAGTAATTTGACATGAAGTAGACCCTTTATTATTTCAATTTCGACTCACACAGCGTTTTATTTCTGTTTTCTTTATCTTTTCATTACTTACCACCTTGCTGCTGTTTCTTTTCACATTCTGTTTCTTCCTGATTTTAATCACAATCGACACTGCATTTTGATTCATACAGTTTTAAACTGTAATAATTATAATAAGTTTGTTTTATCTGTCATCTATTGTGGCTGGATTGTTAAGTAATGGAATCTTTTTAAGATAATATATTTCAGTGTACTTCTAAATAACGCGGTCGTGTCCCATTACGTTGTACTCAGATTTTCATGAACACTAAATAAATTATAACAATTGTTTACTCAAAAGGTAATTCTGTATTACAAACGACCAGTTGTCGTCATAATAAAACGAGAATAATTAACGTTAATCCTCTTCAAAAAATTAATTAAATTAGTCTTGTTTATGAATGCTTCATTGACTTTGCTTGTATTTGTATTTATCTATGAGCATAGATGTGTAGGCCCCATGTACACAACAGTTTCACAACTTTTTGTGCAAATTAGTTTAAATATTTGTAATATGCCAACGTAGATAGGCCAATATTATTCTCTTATTTTGGAGAAGCACGTGCTTCGTCACAGACCTCTGCGTAAAACTACAATTACTTTAAAATCAGACATTTTGAGGGCTTTAAAACGCAAAAATAAATGTGCAGTACAATACAGTGTTACGTCACGATACCACGTGATACTACTCCGTTGCTATCGACGCCATTTTCTCCACTGACAAAGCATTGATCCCAATTTCTGACGTAATTATTAAGAAGTTGTATCTTAATTTTTCTTTGTAAATGTTAATAGATGATTAAATGTGTGCTCGATAAATAATATATGCAAGCTTTTTGTATTTTTAGTACATTTTGATGGTAAATTATTAGGTTTTAGAATGCCTATTCCAGAAAGCCTATTCTAAACCATTAAGATTATGAAGTCATTCGGGCGTAATGAACGATAACAAACCAGAGCCGTAGTATCTGCGGCTCTGTAACCAACGTCTGGAGGGCGCCACCTGGTGTTGTGACTACTCGACTGTAGTACAATACTTTGACTTCTGACTGCCAAGCTGTCTGATAAACAATTTAAAAAAATAGTTCTCAAACCGCAAACTCTCCAGTTTTAAAGTTTTTGCGTCAACCTTGGGTTATTATAAATAGCACAATCATATGGAAATACCACACAATGCGTTTTGTATTCAATCGAATATCTGCTCCGTAAAGCGAGCGTGGCGCACTTTGAACTTTTATAGTGTAGTGTACACACAATGCACGACTTTGACAATAAAACTTTGCTTTAGTGGTTGCTACAAAAAGAGAAAAAGCCTTTCCAGTCGCCTCCGCCTAACCATTGAAATTGTTTGAAGCAAACAAATCATGCTCAAGTTAATTATCACTTCATATAGATACTTTGTTGTAAATGTACATATGAATATATAAGATGAAATTCATTTGACTTTGGTTCCAGCATACGGTAGTTATTATTAATTGCTCTGACGGCTGAAGGCCGGGTAAAAAGAGGTTCTTGATTGGTATGCAAGTGCAAGTAAAATTCTGTAACGTTGACCAGATGGCATTGGATAAGTAAGGGGGTTACCGGCAGTATATATTGGACTGTGCTTTGTCGATGAGGCGTTCGTTATAAAGAGTATCCAAATTTGATTGTGGGATGCCAATGGTACGTGACTCATGTTTAACAATCCTGTTTCTTCTCCTCCTTATTTGCACTTTCATACCAAGCTAGGTGGAACGATTGTCAGGACACTCATGATGACAGACTTATAAAAGATGCACATAATGGTTAGGACTGATGCCAAATGATTCAGTCCGTAAAAAAAAGTCGCTGCTGACCATTCTTCAGACATTCACGTGCTTGGTCTTGCCATTTTAAGTTATTTGAAATGTGTATACCTAAGATTTTATAATTGTCAACTATTTCTACTAAAGCACGAGAAATATTCAGTCCGAAGACAGTTGTTGTATCATCTGCAAATCACACCACCTTATTTTGCGAGCTAGTGCATCCAGCTCCAACTTCACCATCGAGCCCCACTTCACATTTGCCTCCCTCCCTATCAGCACTGCCCTATTACAAGACTCCCTATATACGCCACTGGAAATACTATAATCATGGCCTTTACGAAGATAAGTAGAACATAGGGCAATCTCTACAGCTCAATGGTACAATAACTGAAATAACGTATTACAGTACTTAAATCCGTTCGTGTCCCATTATGTTGTACTCATAGATAGTTTCGTAAACACCAAATGAATTACAACAGTTGACTACTCAAAAGATATTTTTGTAAACAAACGACCAGTTGTCGGTAATAACAAAACAAGAGTCAATTTTAATTCTCTTCAAAGCATAAATTAAATTAGTTTTGTGTATATATAAATGCTCCATTGACAAATATTTGCTGGTACTTTAAAATGTAGTCCTAGGTAATGCTCGGTTTCCATACAATCGCTACACGCTATCGCCGAGAGCTTTCGGTGATAAGCTCGTTTTCCATAGAATCGCTCACCCTATCGGCGAAGGTCGCCGACAGTTTGGGAAAAACTGCATTGCAGACAAATCGAACCAGGTTTAACCTTACCGACAATTATCGGTGACTGTCGTCGATAGGTGTGAGTGATTATAGGGAAACCGAGCTATACCGATTGTTCGGTCGGATCGGTGTGCTCCAATTACACTGAAAACACTGTAGCGACAGTGTAGCGATTTTAAGAAAAGGCTTTAGTTATCTGTGTCTGGTCTAGAAAAGTCTTCATTTTCGGACATGGTACGTGTCTGTGGGGATGGTAAAACTTGGTTTCAAATTACTGTAATCATGTTCCATTAACCATGCTTTTTTTTTTAAATAAAATGTAGCCTATTCGTATGAAATGTGGTCGATCCCCTTTGGTGGCTCAACACGAATGTACTTGGATTGTTTTTATTAAAGCCTGACACAATTATTCTAAGTGCAATACTTCAGTCGTGGCGCTCGTTTGGCTAGCGAGACCACCACTTATATGCAAGATCACCTTGCGGTGACTTCACCGCCGCTGATGTGGCATTCATTCGCTTGTTTTTTTGGTTTTTTTTACAGCTTTATCATTGTGCTTTATTATAAATAATGTTTGTGTTATTCTAAATCAACAGATCTAACTATGCCATTACCTTTTTTTTCTTTCTTTTTTAATTAATCCTGTTCCTAACTTAAGGAGTTCTGACTGTTCGGATAGTAAGAAAAAAAGTGAAAAACAAAAAAACACGAAATAAATATAGGGTCTACACAAAAGAATACAATCAAATGAATCAAAAATAATATGGTATTTATTATTAATCACATCACAACTGCCATTCAATACAGTAAATATCAAAATTAAGTATTTAATTATCTAATACCTGGTAAATATATTTACAACTTATTTAATTCGTTAAATTATTTACAAACATCACTGGTGAAAAATCCGTTTGTACGAAGATAATTAAAATAGATACTGATCATAAAAGTATAGGCTAAAATAGAACAAAACCATTAAAAACCCTCACCATCGTTAAATAGCATAGGTCTTTCCGATGCCTTAAACTCAGGCTCCGGAGTACCACTGATTTTTCCAAGACACAAAAAGCATATTTGACAAGTAGTAGTTCAAGCGTAATTTTCTATAGGCCTATTTAATGTCAACGCATATAATAAGGCTTAAGCATGGTTTCCATACAATCGCTACAATGTCGGTACGGTACGCAATCGTTGTACTGCGGAGCAATCCCCAACGCTATCGGGCATGCAGGAAACTAATGATGCCTATTATTGTATGGAAACCAAGATGCCAAGATAAGATAAGCGTGGTTTCCATAACATCGCTACACGCTATCGCCGACAGTTTTCGGTGGTGCTGATTGGTCGGTCGAATCAGGGAGCCTTCCCGATTGTGTCGGGGACTGCTACGCAGTATACAATTGCAATGAAAACATTGCAACAGTGTAGCGATTTTAAGTGAACCAAGCTTAGGGAGCTTTCGATCTGAGCAACGACGGGACGTTAGAACGGATTTACTCATGCGTGATCATCCTACTTGGAGTATGTATTATAATATCTTATCTGATCATCCTACCGTATTGAACTTCTCGATCTCGCAGCGCATGCGCATATGACTTCTTAAAGTGACGTCATTACGTTCACATCCTACCGTCGTCGTGCAAGCGAAGGCTCCCTATTATAAATTTAGTCTGTATTTTATAATTTAGTCTATTATTCAAGATTGTCTGTACAGCATTAAACTCCCCTCGAGTAAGTTAACACATCCCCAAGAACGTCTCCAAAAATGAAGGCCGTGAATAAACATAATGGGAGCAACACCATTCTATCACTAATGTTTTACTCAGTCTGAAACTACTTTTTCAAGTAGTATCAAATTATTGTTACTCTAGAATCTATACGCTATCGTGATAATACAATAACACTTTTTTATAATCATTTTGTGTTAATTAGCTCTACATTTCCGGTGAAATAAATAAAGGAGCGGTAACCTGAGAATATATTATGTATCCGTACTATTATTAGACTAAAAAATAAACGCCTCACTTGAAAAATGAAAAAAAAAAAGCCCCTTCGAATAAATACGGTAATCTAAGTACAGTATTTATACAAACGATTTATAAAACCAAATCAGAAGATACTTGATTGTTTGTGTATATATACATTTACTTTAGTCATGACACTTGACATTACAAGAGTGCTTATTATCAGTAATAACGATTCAAGTGTCAATTGAACAAATTTCACTTTTGAATAAACAGGATTAATTTACATTACACGACGAGTGATACGGGTTTTCTCTGACTGCTACAATGTATTTCGGGTATTTTTAAAGAATTATAAACATATAAAATATAAAAATAACTTGAATATGTAATAAAAATTCCAGTACACTAATAAGATACTGTTTTACCGAAAATTAAACGTTTTAGTCCGAAACATACTTATACGTGGACTTCATAGTAGGTCAATGTATACCAAACCTCCTCATTAAAACAAGGTAATTAGTCAGCACTAAAGCTTGACAGACCTACTTATACTGTCTTTGTCAATATACGGGAATTTTCCTAAACAATTTAAACTACTGAATTTGTTCAATTAAGTGACCCAATGTCGTTAAATTGGCCCAATACTGCCAGTTGTAGAGATGAGAACGACATCACTTACCGGTATGCATATACTTAATTAGCATTAATGAAGGAATCAATAATTTGCCAGGGAAATATTTCAAAACCGAAAGCTAATAACTGATTAATGAAGCCTATAAAAACTATCGTCTTCGTGAATATATAAAGTAATTATTTACAAGTACTGCATTGAATTTCCATTGTATAATTCTTAGTTCCTCAACTAATACAGGGCTGTTTGTCGAGCTGTTGTCATGTATAAATTCCAAGGAAACCCACATTGGCACCAACAGCAGGTACATTCCAGTCCTACCTTATTTCAACTTCAGAAAGAAACTAAGGTTATTCACCCAGGTAGTAGATGTGTCTTAAACAGGTACTTGATGAGTCAATGATGTATCATTACCCATCTTCTTGGAATCTATATAGCTCTTCCTCTTTGGTCCCAAATATATATGAGAGAATGAAATTATTAGATAAGGAGACAGAGAAGAAAACACAGAGATAGAGATAGAAAGATAGTAGAGAGGAAACGTTTTATGTTTACATAATACAAAGTGATCAGAAGAATACTTAGAACAAGAAGAGAGACTTTATAGAGTCAGCATATTTTGTATATTTGATTGATTGTGATATACAATAAAACATAACAAGGAACTGCATAAAGTCTACTGAGTATAATTCGAGTTCTAAACCTCTCTTGCGAGTCAACATAGACCCCAATAAGATACTGTTAAACTTACAGAGAGCCAAAACTTCTAGGAGTTAAGTAATACCGGCTAAAAACTGTTTCCTGTATTCGTACTCTAACGTGTGCATTGTGTGCTGCGGCTGTTTTGAGATTCTAAACATTGGACAGCTCATATATCAGGGTGATGTATTGAATCGTTTAAGCAAATTCACCATTTCCGCAACATTTTCTGAAAATAAATTCCTTTATCTTGAATAACAACCAAAATAAAACCTGTAACATAGGGGCAGCTACAACCACAGTTAATGCGGCAACGATCGCTGACAATCCAGGATCGGTCTCCCAATCCAGGCTACCTTTATAGATCCATGGATTTCCGTTCGGATTGAGGCCACCGGCAGCCCAATAGATAGCCGTAAAAACGAAGTAAACAAATGAATACAAGGATGGGTAGATAAAGTGGAGAAGGCGGTACGGGGTTGCGACGATGAGTAGGTCAATAAGAACAAGCACTACGTTCACTCCGTGAACGTGGACTCCGTATGCGTGGATGCTGTCACCGGGAGGATCGTACTCCAACACCCAGTAGAGGATCGTAACGGCCACTGCGGCGCTGTAGGCTGTCACTTGCAAAAACCACATAAATTTCAAGTACCACGGCATGCTGGGTTCGTAGAAGTTGTTCTGGTTACTACCGCCGCCTCGTTCAGCCAGCTCTATACTTGGGTCTTTGTCAGAAGAATTACAATTACCTGATAAAACAAGCGACAATTATTACGTTTCAAGTTCCATTTTATTTTTTCTCAAGTTGGTTTCGGCCATCATTTTGTTAAACAGTAAACAACCAGCGCATGCATCTTAAAATTGCTTTTAAATACATATTAAAATTATTACTGGTATAATATTACTATTGGTAATATTACCTATTTTAAATATTAGGCCAAAGTATGAATCATCACTAATATCAATATTGTTATTATTATCATTATACAGTATCATTACAAGTATGATCACCATTATGATCACTTATATCATTTTAATTATTATCATAGTATAATTGCCATTGTTATTATTAAATTTTAGAGTGGATAAAGCCATGACCCCAGAGGAAAACATTTTATATATTATTGTACAGCTGATTTTTCTAAAACACAAAAAGGGTGTTTTCCAAATTATTTTTAAAAATGGAGAAAAAAGAAAAATATTAATAAAATTGAGGTCTGAAAGTGCCATTGCCGGCAATCTAGAGGTGCAACAATAAAGTTTCTTCCCTGGCCCCCTTTATTCCGAATTCCTGGAACCGCCACTGATTGCCACCATAAAAAATAACGGACAACTAAACTCACACGCATGGTACACCGTTACTGCTACAGCCGCAAATATGAAATACAAGGTTAGCAACAGGTAACTCCAATCAGATATGTAAATTAACCATTTCCATTTGGTATCGACGGGAGAGTAGTGTGGATCAGTACCCCATTCCACTATCACCAGGATACACCAAGTCAGCTGATAAACGGCGATCAAATGGCGGTACAAAATGTACGAAGTAGGCTGCCACTTCCAATTACACTGAATAAAGAAAACAACGAATTATTTCTGTGTGTGTTTGCGACATCAGGAAAATATTATAGAGGTGATTCGTTTTGCCCTACCTGACGTCTGAAGTGACGATGTTACCGTACGTCCCCAAATACTTGATAATTTTTTTTTTATTGCAGATGTTCTTATCATTGATATTTCATAAAACTTGTAAAATAATTATTGCGTACTGTAGGCCTATGCCTATTAGTCATAAAGATGAAATTATAATTATCATCATTATTATCAACACCACCATCCAGTGGCGGCGCCAGCGTCTGAATTCTGGGGGTATGTGAGGAGCAAGGTACGATTTTTTTGGGGACAAGGTCCCCGACGAGAGTAAAGTAGAAAATACATATAATTGTGGTTTTTTCTTCTTTTCTGGGAGAAAACTTGGGGGTGGGGGCAAGAAAATGTTCTGGGGGAAATGTTCCCGAGCCCCCACAGCGCCGCCACTGCAATCAACGATTATAAATACATTATCTAATATAATTATAATACGCTAGGCCTTCTATTTTCCAAGATACCTTTGATTTTATTCATTTCGGCAAAATACAAAAGTAAAAAATCCGAACAGACAAAAAGATATAAAAAGCTGAGGAGAAGCAAAGGCATAAAAACGCATTCACCAGTAAGGTGTACTTTTCCAGATAACTTGTTAGCCTTGTTCAGAGGATATAGCAATGAACATCAAGGCGTAGCATTATTTTCAGTACTGGATATTGTCTGATATTGTTTATGAGCAATGCCGTAGCCAGCTATTGGGACAGTTGGGACAGTCCCCACAATTTTTCTATTGGGTCCACAAATAATGGGTCCAAATTTTCAAAAATGGGTCTAAATTATGCTGTTTTATAAACGAAATGAGTTCACTTTTAAGAAAATGGGTCCAGATTTTTCATATTTTTTTGCATAAAATGGGTCAACTTAAGAAAATGGATCCACATCATTTGAATTTACGGGTAAAGTGGGTCCACACTGATATTTTCCAGCACTGTTTGAAAAACCTGGCTACGGTATTGTATATGGGATCACGGATGGTTAATATCTCAAAATACACGCGCGCGCCGCCATCAGCATCAAAATCATTATCATCACCATCACATTACTGTATATCACCACCACCACTACCATTCTCTTCTACACCACACCACCATCATTAACAAGATCTTTATCATCACCACTACCATCATCACCACTACCACCATCGCCACTACCACAATCGCCACTACCACCATCGCCACTACCACCATCGCCACTACCACCATCGCCACTACAGTGTGGCGTAACGACTAATCATGGGACCAGGAGCGAGAAAGTGTCGGTGGGCCTTGCGTGACAAAAGTATTTTTGCTCTCGAAGTAACAAAGACTTTGAGTGGTGGGTAATCTTCCTACCTAACTCCATGGCTAGAAAGACTGGTCAAGGCTTACTGTCCTGGGTAGTAGTTCGGGCCCGGAGCTACGCCCCCGAGAGCTCACGGGCGTTACGCCATTGCGCCGCCGCTACCATTGTCTCTGTGTTGGTTGTGTGTTTTTCGAGAAAAACTTAAGAGTTGTTTTATTTATTATAATTACTTTAAAATCTTTACAATCGCTACAATTATACGTCTACTTCACAATGGTTGGAAATTTAATTGACCCGAGTTGATCGAAATTACGTTACAATTGGACCATGGGAGTAAGTTGAACTTTATACTACTTTTTTGCGTGTTTTTTTATATCATGTATATGAGTTTCGAATAAAATAAAATGCTCTTTACCTTTGTAAAGTACCGTAGCAATTATTGAAAAACAAAAATAATGATTAATTTAGATAGTATACATACTCCAAGTATCGAAATGTCGGGATTCAATATTTCGACATTAAGTATGTTGTCATCAGGAATGACATAATTAATGTCGAAATATTGAATCCAGACATGATGGCGTGCATTTCGATACTTGGAGTATGTATTATACTATCTTATCTGAGATTAATCAGTGGACCTTTCGGTTTTATAATAAATTAACGTAATCGTACAGTTGTAATTTAACATGTTAAATTAACAAAAAATGACTCATTCAAGTAATATATATATTTTTAGTTAAATTATTCTAGTTCAATTTTAATTGTGTGCTTTGTATTTTTATGTATTTTTTTGTATTTCTCTTCCACTTGGTGGGGTATATTTTGAAGAAATTGAATTGAATATGCCAATGAATTATGCCAATCACGTGATCCGACAGTCACGAATTTATATTATAAGCTTCCGATCCACGTTTCCTATTTTACTTACTAAACTTAACACGCATGGCATTATATTGTTAAACCTCAGAATTAATTATATTCATCCCCGCTTATATTTCGTAATTCTGAATCTTTTATGACCAAACAAAAGCATACGCATACCAATATCCAAGTGCGACGTATGAAATTCCACATTACCTTGAACATTAGTCGTATTCTGCCATTGGCATTTTTAAAATATATTTTAATGTACATTATTTTAAAAATGTGTCTTGATAATGATATAAATGGCTTAGTAATGAATACTGTATATACACGATATCATGTAGGTACCTTTTGGCATAACTTAAATAGGCCTATGTATAACCATTTCCTCCTTGGTATTAGCATTTTTTCCACTTTCAGTTAGGAGTGTACCCAGAATTGTGTTGGCATCCCGTTTTATATAAAGGCTTTCCAGAGATTAATGTTCCTATTCATCATAGCAACCACAATCAATCTCGTCTCATTCGGCCATTGTGTGCGCATAAATCATTTGAAAATTCTACATACATGGATTCTGTAAGGCTCTTCCTTCTGTCGTCAGAAAATCATATCATTCTAATCGTTTAAAACAAAGGCTGCTTTTTCTTTTTATCCCAGTGGGGAGACAACAGTAATCAAATATATAATAATTGTTTTTGCCTCGCCATATATAT